GAATATGACCCCCCCAAGTTCTGAGAGAGCCAAGAATCCTCGGTTGGTGGGGGTGGCTCGAGGGGTCGAGACACCTCGAGACCCGGGTCCTAGGACCCCCTTGGGGCCTCGAACCCAATGCAAAAAACTCGACTTGATTTGGTTAAGTGTGGAGCATTTCGTGAACCCAAAACGTGACCTAGGGTTCTGCAGGCGGTTGAATGCCATACTTCTACCTTAACACGTAATGTGGCGCCTGTTTCGCTACTAAGTACCGCCCATCTTTTTGGCTTTCAGCTTGTTAGTTCCGACCCGCCGGGCTTCATCTGATTGGTTGCTGAGCATCCAACTACGCAGGAAATGATGCATGGGGGTCTTTAGATTAGTTGCAATATAAAACGTCATTATATGCGTACGGTTTATAGTCCGGTTCATCCGTTCTGGCCGGAAGGCGTGCAAGCATTAGCCTGTGCTCGCGACCGATGTACGTTATTCGTAGGAGCAATATGTGATGATGATGTTAGGTAGATACACTGCTAAACGCTAATTGAACTCAAAATTGGAACAAAGCCCACCGGCTGCAGTTTGAGGCGGTCAATCTTGAATGTCTGTCACAAGTTCAAGCACGCGCGCGCCGAGCTAGAATTTCATGATTCGCATTGTTGCTGCAACACGCTAGAGAACGGTCATGGAACGCTGACCTGCATCATGCAATATAAGCGACCGACGGGCTAATACGTACGGCCAAGATCCAATGATCGTATAAGTATGCTACTGCAGTTCAAAGCGGCGACGGTTCTAGTTTAAGCAATCAGGAAAATACAGCCTGGAGACTTACAAATCGATACATACCGCAATGTGACGGTGATATAGAGCGCGGCCGGGCGGCCGCGCTCACTTGTGGACGTTGGCTCGCTTTCCTGCACTGATCACCTGGACTTATCCCTTTGTTTACCAACGGACTTCGTTACGTACTTAAGTTCATTGTGAGGGGCTCAGTAGATTCAAGGAGTGATCACTCAGTCTCATCAACTCTCGAAGGAACTTCGACGATAGAGTTTTGGCTGTTTCGAATTATCGACCCTCAGTATGACCGGTCCCTTGGGAGCCATTGGGTACAACTGACGGAGCACTCAGTATCTCAGTAAGTTAGAAATGTTATGTCTCGGTGGGAGCCAGATCTCAGCCCCTGCCTGGCGGACGCCCCATGCGCCACTTCATTAATCAGACGCTCCAGACCGACCCCAGGCTCCCGCAGGGCCGCCCTTGAAGGACTTCGATCCACCCGGCGCCTCGTGCGCCGTTGCTGACGCCAATTTCGCCAATCTCGCCAGCGGCGGCGTGCGGGCGGAGGGTCGCCAATCTCTCAAGAGAGCCCTGTCGATCCCTCTGCGGACTTGCGAAATCAATCGACACAAAGACGGACACAGGGCGCTCACGAAAGCCAAGCGCGCCCCAGTCCGGGGCGTTTCGTGCGTCTCAAATGGAAACCGCTGGTCTCTTCAAGACGAAACTTGCCATGTTCGCTAAGCGCCCCGCAAGCGCGTACAGAATTTTCTACCGACCAATTGATGCGTGGCTGGCCGTCGATCGTTGCGTGACGAGCGCCGCCCAGAACGATCGAACGTCCTCGGGCCACTTCCTCGGCTGATACCCTAGAAATGCCCCATCCTCCCCCTCTTGATCCCCAAGGATCCGGGTCTGGCGACCATTTCTGCCATTCTTCTGCCGCGGAACCCCAATCCCTCGCCCCCCCCAGGGAGTTCGGTCGCTTGGCGGCCGCCTCCGTACCGTCCCTGCTAACTTTTCAAATTGGCGCGACGATCGACCACTGGCGTGGGATCAGCGCAGCAACCAAGCTGACAGTGACGTCAGCGAGCCAACTCATGATGACATGCATATTTTGCATCTAACTCTAATCCATCCAGACCAGAGCTTCCGGCCTGTGTTATCCAGAAAGTCGCACGCGCAGCGGCCTTGAGTGGACCCATGTTTCCGTCTCCGCTAAACCTCGCACAGAAGCGTTTAGCAGGCCCCGCCTCTGCAGCCGCGTTTTCCGAGGATGAAACTTTTCCGACTTGTGTTCTTTAAACTGTGTACAAATTAGATGAAAACGATGAGGATGCTAATCATCTTTGAATGGTGCAAGGACTTTGTGCCCGGCCTTTCAAACCCGCATCTTTCGTTGTTCTATTCGATCCCCCTCCCTACTTCTTTAGCAGTGAGAGCGCTTCTTTTGGTTCTTAGCCGCCTTACCATCCTCTCTGACGCACTCGTCGTCAAATCAAGTCCTCGTCCTTTGCCGCACTTCCTGCCTCGAAGGAGAAGACCGGAACAGCAATTGTTGGAGCAAGTGGAATCCTTCTGTCGGCCTTCCAGTCTTTCGACTGTCCGAATCCAAAAAGTAGTAACCCAAAGCAACGGACCGTGATAAACCGGTTGCAGCCTCCTCAGTGCATCCCCACTCCTGTGAGCATCTCATCTTAGGTGAATCACGTGACTCGGATTAGGCTTTGAGCCCACTGGTTTTTTCCTCAGCTTCCAGCAACTTTTTCGAATCGAACGGAAGGGACGGAGGCACGGAGCTGCAGGCAGCGAGGTCGCTAATAGAGCCACGTGGCAGCTTCGCACTTGTCACCATAACAGCAGGCAGGTCTAGTACATTCGAGCATGCCGCTAGCTATTACTTTTTTGAAAGTTTTGATGCCGGCCGTCATGTCGCTCATTTGAAGGGGGGACGAGCTGTGAAATGAAATGGAAGACACGGAAAGCAGGCAGGACCCTGGTATCGACCAGCGCCGCTCGCGTCAGCAATTAACGGACAAAGCTCTCCGTTGCACGTCAGCCGTTACGAATTCCGCCCCCAAGGACCGCTGTGGGCGGGGCTCGCGTGGGGCAAAAGGGAAGACCAAAGCTTCTAGGGGCGAAAGAGAGTTTCTGTGACAATGAGGGCGGATTCGAAAGCGAATCCTGAAACGCGTCCCGTAGCAAGCAGCTTGATGGATTCGACGCCGGTTTTCAGGGGAGTCGGGAGCGAACGGTGACGGCTCGTTTGAATCCCGGAACTTTGACCTGCCGGAGACCGAATCACCACAAAGTGCCGCAGACAAATCCTCCTTCGTCCGGAGCTAGCAGTGAAGCCCATGTGTATCACTAATTCATCAATCGTGGTGACCTGTTTGAAAGGAAACATATACTCCCAAAACGCCCATTCCTCCAGTTGTCCGAGTCGGCTAATGGGCTCGTTTCGTGCTCCATCTGGTGGTAAATCTCAACCGGCCGGGGATCTCTCTAGCCTCTTGGGCCCTCAAAACGTAGCCAGAGCCGACGCCTCAAATCTGGCAAATTCGACGCGGACTAGCACGATGACACATTGGAATTGCAGGCTCGGACCAGATCCTCCGGCGGAAGGGACTGCTGGACCAGTCTCAAAGCGCAAGCTGGCCCATCAGCTTCAACCGGATCACCGCGGGCGGCTTGAACCGGACTTTTTGTCCCTGTCTATTCAAGCTGGCCCAATTCCAATTGTGTCATCGTGCCAGTCCGCTGCGCGCATATGAAGCAGACATCGCTGCGTCGCTCCTGGCAGCCTGAAGGATCTGGCGCGGCAGCAGGGGGGGCAGCAGCGGCAAGCTCCCAGCCCTAGTGCTCACAGCTGTGCCGTCCGGGGAATCGCGGCCGGCCAACGTCACTTCTTCGATCTTGGAAATATCTCAAAGGAATTAATTCACGGCCCAGCGCAAAAGTTGCAGGCTGACTCATTGCGTGAATACTGCCAGTCGATGCATAGTACCGCTTGTTATCACTGCAAGTTCTTGAGTCTCTTCCGCACAATCAGTTGATTAGAATGGGATTAGTATAGTATCAGTTCTGCACCCGTTCTGCATGATGTTTCTGCGGGCCATTCATAACAAACATTGATCAACTGCTACAAACCCTGCAGACGTACTCAGCAAACTGGATCAGCTGAAACCTTTTGATCTTTTACAGAGTCCAGCTTGTAGGATATGATATGTGTTTTTGCCGGCAATTATCGTTTTAAAACCATTGAGGCGCGCATTTGCGAACGAACGTACGTCCAGGGCGATCATAGCTCACACGTACGCGTCGCCCAGGGATCCCTCGCAGTACGATGACGTCATGTGAAGCTTCCAACATGCGTACGTGCGTACCGGCAAACGTCGGTACGACGTACGGTACCCTGCGGCGGTATGTCGCCGGGCGTTCCGGGTCGCTCGGCCTGAACAGCACAGTACTGCTTCCTGGCAATCGCATTGATTGCACCGAAGGCTTCTTCAAAGGACTGAAGCGGCATTACGCTCAAGAGACGCTCTTTTGTTTTGGCTGGACTCGCTAACTGCAGGGGTGCTTGAACCGCGCTGCCGCGCCTTTAACCTGTCCCACAGGATTGCTATGGCGGCGCAGGTTCAAGACAAGGTCGTCTACAATTCGCCGCAGCAATTTCCGGAAGGCATTGACTGGGATGCAAAGAATGGGCGCTTCCTTGTAGGATCAGTGCTGAAGGGAAACATCCTGGCGATTTATCCTGATGGTACCACAAAGGAAGTTGTCAAGGTGAGCAAGCAGGTGCTGGTGCGCCTATGTTTCTTTTAATTCTCAGATTAAATTTTACATGGCTTTTTGCTTGCGCGTGTCATCAATCATTCCCTGCAGCCTCCTTCTCCTCACAGGGTGAACAAGCTGGCTGCGCAAGACAAAGAGTCTGCCCCGTATGAGGTTTAATCAAGAGGATCTGATGGTCCCTGTGGTGAAATTCACAGGAGTTTGATGGGGATGAATGCCGCATTCTATTTCTCACTGGAGCAAGGGAAGAGGCAAAAATCAGATCCCTCGTCAGTATCGAAAGCCATTGGACCTAATCATGCGAGAGCCCTTTCCAATTTATCTGCTTGCTACTCATTCATTAGCAGCTGACTTCTGTCTCCTTTTGGATGCCGCTAGATGCATAGAAGGGAAAGGATTCCAGTGTTGGTTGGTGACTAGCAGCTAAATACACCTTTCATTATCTTCCAAAATCTGCCAGCACATTCTCAAGCCACCTGGAGGGCCAGAGAAAGCATCCCTGCTCAGGATTACCTGCTTTCTCACCTCATTAACTCAAAATGAGGACTTCCAGCTGGTTGCTTCAGATCTGCCTGTTCAGAGTTCGAATTGTATCTCTCCTTGTTGTGGTCTGCAATGCTGAGCTGCTGTCAAATGCTGGGCATGGTCTAGAATGATAAACTCAGAAATTATCATCAAGCATAGCACAGCACTAGAGATCTGATAGCAAGTCTGACACAATTGGCCAAAGTACCTGTCAACACTGCTGTAGGATGAAGAGTATTCCGGGTGCGCAACTTTGGGTCTCCAAGTTGACTTGCCCAGGAACCGCTTCGTCGTGACTGTGCACAGCAATAACCCGGCGGCGCCTTATGATGGAGTGGCCGCGTATGACCTTGACAGGTGAATGGCAGACAATCAATATTTCTGGCTATCTGAGGACTCGTAACTAACACACAGGGCCCAGGGCCTGTGCTCCTTGGTCACATCAAAAGTGCCTTTGATATTCCTTCTACGCGCGTGTCACTGCCGCTTGGGAATGGCCCCTTGAGACACCTGCTGTTAAGTGTGTCTCATGCCAATTTAAACACTGAGAGAGGGGGTTCATGATGTAACTTGACATGCGACCAGCGATTACAGCTCGCAAAAGCTGGCAGCGTGAGATACTGAGCGGGGAAGACGCCCGGTAGCTGTGCTATTATGGGCCGGTCCATATGGCAGCTGATTCGGTGGTCACACCCGACCATGTGCATGTCCCAGTTGGAAACTTCATTTTGGAGAGCTTTGTTTGGTGATGTTGTGCCAGCTGTAAAAGTCGTCACAGTGGCTTTAAAAAAATCCGCCTCTTACAGAGGCTAGAAGAGTTCCTTGCTACATAGACTGTTTAAAGCCAATTCATTGATAGGCCCCTAGTCCTAGATGCAATCAAGAAAGATTTCGCCTGTAAAAATCTGAGGTCCCAATAAGACCAGAAAATCTGGCTCCTCCAGGGCAGAAATCACTCTCGAAGCATTGCTTCAAGCGCCTCGATCCCTTTGCGAAACTCGATCATCAACCCTGAGCAACGTGCCTTGATACGTATACGTTAAAGTTCGGCGTATCTTGTCCTCTGTGCTCTGTTCACTCCGAGTCTCTTCTGACCCGTGTTCTTATTGAGGACGGAAAGATGAGTGGAGCGGACAAAGAAAGGCTGGAAGGATATCCAAGCATGGCCAAGAGGGTCAGACTCTTTCCTGCAGGTCCATATAATGGAACGGAAGGGATTGGAGCGGAACGGAATGTTCCGTACGGAGGCAACTCCATACGACAGCATAAAACATGCAACCACGCGCCAGCTAATTTCCGTGTCATAGCCAGAGGGTTTGAGTTTCCCTATGATCACATCAGCTGAACGGCATCTCTTAGCGTTTGCACAATCTCCAGGCTTAAAATGACACGACCATCGTTTGGCAGAGTCTTTGCCCCTCCTTCTCGCTCGTAATCCAGAGAAGTCCCTATCTCGGGTGCAACCGAGCCAGGTTGGGATCCACGTTTGGAACTGGGAGCAGTACTGCCAGCACCAAAGTAAAGCGTGCGTGATACGGCGCAACCCAGCGAAACCAACCCGACACCCCCAGGCTAACTCCAACCCGTCACTGACCTTATACAAAGCGAGACCAACTTAACCTGAACCTCATACTCCTCATTTTCAGCGGCAAGCGCCAGTTTTTGACCAAGCTCTCAGACGTGCCGGTGGAAACCCCTCCCGTGAATCTGCCGATCTTTGCCAACGACTCCGCTGTTGACGCCGCGACGGGAGAGGTGTATATCACGGACACACAGCGCAGCCTTCTCTGGAAGACGGACGCAGGTGGGCACCTAGAATAGTCTCGATTTTTTCCAGATCTCGGGTCCTCCTAAATTCGAACTGGTGCCCAATCATCTCTCGTGCAAAACCATTTGCAAAACCTCAGAGGCCAAAGTCCTTTTGATATCAGCCTTTCCATAAGTAAATGTGATTGAGTGGGACTATAGTTCGGGATGCCAGATTGCTGGCCTCGACAATTCAAGAGTGCCTGTGCCAAGATTCTGGATTCAGGCCGGGCCTAGAAATGTACATGTGCTGAGTCAATAAACTCGCATTTGCGGCGAGCTCTCTGCTTTCCGATGGGATCGACATTCTCTCAGCCAGGGCCGGTCCGAAGGTTTTGGCTGAACGCCGATGCTCAAAAGTCGCATAGAACCGAATTGATGTGCGCATTGCTGCTGAATTGGCGAATCAATGTGTGAGTACCCTCACTCAAGGTCGTTTCTGGGGGCCGGATGCTTGACGGATTGTCGACGTCGGTTTCTGCTCAACAGGATTGTAACAGGATGAAGTCGAAACGCGTCCCTTGAAGCGTTCCTCCTACTTGAAGGAAGAAGTAGGACTTCTGCCTTCGGCAGACTTCTCGTAGGTTGCCGTTCGCCAATGCTGTATCTGCAGCGATACGTCAATACATCCAAGCACCTCTTATTGTGACAATGTTGTAATGAACCAAATATATTCTTCTATATATGATATTGTGTGATATTACTCGCTGTTGTGCAGACGGCAGCAACCCGCGGCTCTTCTCCGGGGACCCCCTCTTCGCCGCCTTCCCCAAAGTCTACTTCGGGCCGTTCGATTTTGGGCTCAACGGTCTGGTCGTTCACCAGGACGGGTACATCATAACAACCCACGTGGGAGCTGGCGTCGCATACAAAGTGAGATTACTCCCACAGTATCGTCTCTGAGTGGAAAGTTGCTTTGTGTCGCTACAGATACTGATCTTTGTCTTAGCCCTACTCTCACGAGCACTGCAGGACTAATAGGGGCTCGATTCTGCAGTCTGCTACCACCGGAAGGTAGATTTCTTCTGGGTCGGTCGTTAGACAACAGCTCGAGTTAAGGCATTCAAAGCGGTTCTCTAGCTTGGGCAGATGAAGGTCGTCAACAGAAAAGAGGGCCGCGTAACTTCCTAGCACGTTACTGATTCTTGGAGTTTTGGCCGAGCGTCGCGACCAACTCAAAGCACACAACCTTTGAGCGGCCGTGATTAATGCGGAAGCCTCGATTGCTTAGTCGCTCGTGATCCTACTGGAAGAAAGAAACTCTACCATTTTTCGCCGCCTGATTAGGGTGCGGCTGGTGCCATGTGGGTGGCAAAAGCCATCGTATACAGGCAACGTTTGCAGCGAGTGCTGAATCTGGGGCTCCTCAATTTCGCTTGTACCGCCCGTGGTTCTTCGGAGCAAGATCTGCTTTTCGCGCGTTCGTTGGAGCTCTACTTACTTTTGTGTCAGTGACAGACCTCCTCAAAGCTACCTGGCGGCATGTCTCTCGGAACCCGTCACAAGTGCGCTCAATCGCATGATTCAAAGAAATGAGTATTGATCGACATGACGACATCGACCTGATCTGGAGCGGCCCTTTGTTTCGGCCCTTGTAAAACATTTCTCCTGTGTCCTACTATATCCAAAAACCCTGTCTTCGCGTCCCTTTCCGGGTAATCACGAGCGGTACAAATGTCGCCACGATTCCAACCACGTGGCCCTTACGTGCTCACAATCGGGGCGACTGGCCGGCTGTGCTGCGAGCTGCGCGGTTGACGCGCGCGTCGCGCCCACCAGTACGCTCCCCTAAGCCCTCGCATCTGTTTCTTCAGGTTCCATTGGATGGGTCCCCCGTCAAGAAGGTCGAGATCGACGGGCTCTTCCCCGGAGCAGACGGAATCCGGTTCCGCCCCGATGGGCGCCTCGTGGTGACCTCCGATGAGTGCGTGTACCTGGTGGAAAGCACCGACGGCTGGGAGACAGCCAAGATTCTCGACAAAGTGCCCCAGGTTAGCGTACCCATAAGTCTCGAGTTTATGTTGTGTTAAGATTATGTTGCGTTAGATCAGTTCCCCGGGCTCAGACAAACTCATAATTAAACCCGAAGTTAACATGCTCCGCACCCTTACCCACCCTAATTAAACCCCAAACCAACCCAACCCGTCCCCCGCGCATGACATAAATCAACACAGCCGTACCTCAACATAAAATCGAGACTACTAGCGTGGCCCCCGGGCTCCAAACCTGCTCACCGGCCAAACGTCAGACACGGTTTGAACGGCCGGTTTCGGACTCCCTTTAGGCCTGGTTAAATTGAAAGTTTCGAAGTCGGGTTTAGGCCTGGTTAGAAGGACCATTTGCTTTCCGAGCAGCCGGGGGTTCCAAGGTTTCCAGTCGAGCGCGCTCACGCGTGCGGCATTGGTTCCACTCGATGACCAGTTTTGTCTCCCGACCTGCTCCTTACCAGATCCTTCTTCGCAATTCCCCCTTTCCGACTTCCGTTGATTTATCTGGAAGCTCTGCAAATTCGAAACGTGTCACTGAGTATTTGTACCCCTGGGTACGCGAACCGGTCTTGAACGAAGTCCACGGAGTCGATTTGCTTCGCTTTTGAACGGCCTGCAATTGAATCTTCGTCTGAGAATCTTCGTGAATCAATCGGAATGCGTTAAACCGTAGCGTCCTTCAAAGATGATTGTTGCTCGTCAGCGATCGATACTCGCTGTTAACGGATCTGTTGGTCTTACTTCGGCGTACAGTTTCAAGAAGGTCCGGGCGTCTGTCTTCATGCATCAACTTTTCAATCGAGCAGAAAGATCGAATTCGGAGCGATTTGCCCTCTGCTATTACACTTCGTGGACATCACGCTGCGGTTGATTACAAGCGCGGCGGTTAACCACTTGTGAAATCGTTCACCCAGGAAGCGGCTAACTCAGATCCCGTCTGCGTTTGTTCATAGGACCCCAGCATCTCCACGACAGCGGTCGCCATACGAGATGGGCGAGCGTACATCAACTACGCCTTTTTCGCCGAGGCGTTCGGTGGGAAGGAGCGCTCGGAATTCTTCCTTCAAACGGCTGATTTTCGAGTCGACAAGTAATCAGAGTACCAGCTAACAAGAGCGGAGGCGAATTGAGTTGCCGAGCTGTGCCGGGACATATTGTTCCATGATGATAATTATCGATAGAGGATGTATTTGTGAAAATACGATACAGCCATTCTTTGCAACCACACTCGGAGTTGGCAGGCACGACAATCTCGAGCTTGGAGTAGCTGACTGTCACATGACCGCCAAAGACAACAGATATCGACTACTGACTCTCATGCAGTATACTTCAGTCTATGATTACGTTGTACGTTGTGTACATAGAACGATTCATTGATCTGATTATAGACACGAGTAAAACGAAATCAGCCGGCGTGCTGCCGGCCACTTGAATTGTATATGGAAGCGCATAGGGTGACAGGCGGCCCGGAACAATGATGAGCTTGTTGAATACCACAGACTGAGAGCTTGTGGATTAAAGTTGCAATCTGCCATGCGCGGCAGATGTAGCGCGGCCCTCTCGCTTAGAGTGCCAAAGGATCTCTGGTAATTAATTCACCGTCGATTAAGTCCAGTCAGTGCATGTTGCGACATGATTATGACATGGTCCACTTGCCCTGAGTTAAGCTGTACTGAAGTACCAGAAGCCAGTTGATCCGATCCTGACGGCTGAGGTAAACACAACAGTAAACACTCTGAATTTCAAGCCTGGCCCGGACGAACCACGAAGCAGGACGTACTCGGACTGGCAGACTTAAAGATCGTGACTCGACGATTTGATTAAGCATCTCTTCATAAACTATTACTACAGTATTAGGCCGGTCTGGGCAGCCGCCGCACACCTCATGTCACTGTGCGCAGCCGAATCCTTCCAAGCGCAGCCCCTCATGGCATCCGATGCTTATAGTGACTTGCCAGCTCTATCTGCCACTGCCAGGCTGCAACGCGCCGGCCAGGCCATCAATGATTGGCCCGGCGCCTCCGACTTGAGGTCGCCACTGAACTAATATCAAGTAGCTGGCATGCATCATGCGCTTGTTGAATCAATAACGAAAGCTAGCGAGAACGAGACGTACTGTGAAGGTCAGACGGTGCCGTCTGCGGTTTCCTTGGAGCATTGTGTCAGTTGGCAGGCTGATGGTGGCAGATCGATCGATCATGACTCATGTATGTTCTGTCAAGTCTGCCCTCGTGATTGCTCTACGTTTAGTGGGTTTTAGGTGCAGTCACTGCAGTGATCGAGGAACAGTCGGGCCCTATTCTAAAAGGCTAGCGCCCGACCATACATACGTGATGCCTGGCCGTGCCTCGTTCAACATAAAACGTGATCAGAACCACGAGAGCTATGACCAGTCGTGTCTTGCGAAGCAAGAGAGGCCAGACAGCTATTCGATTAGACCTTCAGGTGAGAGCTCGCTCTGCTCTTCTTTGCAGCTCCCGCTTAATTGCTTATAGTCTCGCGGTTGCCGGGACCTACTTTCTTCTACATTGAAGATGCTAATCGAGTTTAGGTCGCCCCCGAAAATGCTGCTGCATGATTGACCGCACAATCATGGATTCCCTTTTGCTCACAAAACTACATCTATAGATGGAGATGTCCTAGCCTGGTGTTTACTTTGTCTGAATCACGCTTCCTTTGTCAGCTCCAGGCCTTGATGGGCGCGTGCATGGATTGACAGGCACTTTGAGTACCAAACTGGTATTAAGCTATCCTCGATATTGTCCGAAGAAAGGCAAACAAACACAACCGAGCCACATGAGAACTTCACCGAATCGCATCCGATCCTGCCCACTCAACAGATGTTCACCAACTTCTCAGACTGGCCGTTTGTTGGAGATTCTCCTGTCGAATCTTTACGCTAGTCTTGACTATATTAGATCCTACAGCCCTAGACCCGGCATCTGGATTTCCAAGCCAGAATCGACGTACTCGACTGCCTTTTCGATGATGAAGGCGCGGCGAGCGGGCTCGTGTACGTACGAGGCCAGAACCCCCTCGTTCGTGTTCTTGGAACAGAAGTCCTCTATGTGTACGAGAGCATTTACCAGAGCTTGTGCCTCCTGGTTATGATACGTGCGCATCCACAGCCCATACGGCTCCCCCGTTGGGAACGTCACCTTTTGGAAGCCCTCGTACGTGCCACGCGTCCCACGTCCGGAAAACCTGGTCAGGGCCGAAGAAACAAAAACTTTGGAGAGTGGACTGATAAGCGTAATCTGATCGGGGATAGGCAAACGACGCAAGCAAAGGTTGAGAGGCACAAGCTAGTCAGAGTAAGAGAATGGATCCCAGGAAGATAGATCGATGAATGCTGGCGGGCGATTATTTCAGGATTGAACGTGCCATGCGACGCGACGTGATCGAAAACCAACACATCGGTGGAGGAGAACCAGGGTGACTAGAAAGAATTTCCGAGAAGCACCTTTTGAAGAGATTCCATCAATAATGGACCCTCGCCCATGTAGGAATACGGGGTCCACATCGAAGATACTAGTGACGGTGGCAGCCCATTTTTTTGCAGCTTAGGAACATACTCTGAAAGGTACTAGACAGCTGGATCCTGCTTCTGGATCAAACCTCGTACTTCAAGATTGGAACTCCGGGCGCGCATCTAGAGGTTGAGTCGTCAACTCTATACGCTTTACGTTTTTGAGAATCATCAAGTGCACAAAGAAGGCCAGTAGGGACCTACTAGTGTTACCTTGAGAAATCAACTTGCTCGTAGACCTGCTATATGTGTACGGATTTGACTGAGCACGCAAGTCAATGCGCGTATGCAGTAAGTGCGGACTGGGTCGGAGTCACATAGGTCAGTGCCGCCACACACTCCGTATGCCCACAGAGAG